GATTTATTTTCTTTTTATGTGTGATTGATACCAAAGCTAGGTTCTGAACCGCCTTCCTCGAGAGATCGACCCGGGAAACGAATCCTTGATTCGGTACTCGGTAAAATATAACAATTTGTACACCCATTCTTGTTGCATTTTTTCCTTGTTATTTTCCTTTCTTTTTCCCCCATATTAGTTTTTTTAGTTAGTTTTTATCTCGTTTTGTAGTTTATTGCGTGTTTTCCTCTATCTTGGTTTTTCTTGTGTTTTCCGTATGTTTTTCCAGTTTTTCTTGTTTTTGGTGTGCAGGTCAAAAGCCCGTGAGGAATACGTTTAGCTTGAAAACGGGCTGGGAAATCATGGTTAGATAGATGGGTTCGTTGGCTACAAGTAGGAAAAAGCGGAACTCAATTCCGAGTTCAGACGAATCCGAACGGGGCCGATACGTAAAGTCCAGCAAGCTGCCGACTATTTGAAGGTTGGAAAACTCTAGAGGATTTGTACTATTCGAAAAATCTGGTCAAGAAAGCATCATTGAATAGAGGGGTCCGTTAGCGACGCGTAGGAAAAAACGGAACTCAATTCCGTGTTCGGACGAGCCCAAACGAGCCCAAAACGCAAAAGTCGCGCAGTCGAGCCAGCAGCCCCGCGCGCCGCGGCTCGGCAACCCTCAGCGGCGCGGCACTGACCCCCTCCACGGCGCGAAACAGCCCCACGCCGCGCCACACACTTTCTCCACGGCGTTAAGCACTCCACGGGCCTTCAGAGAATGCTGCTTCGCGCGCCACGCCGTGCTACCCCTGCCGTGCCGCGCCACATGGATGCTCCACGCCGTGTCACTATTTCTCACGCCGTGAAGACCTGCTCCTATATATATTTGCATCGGGATTTCGACAGAATTAATCTCCCCGCCTGGGAGTAAAAACCCTAAGCTCGATAACTCCACGACATAACTCCTTTCTCTGCTTCTTCTTCTTCGTTTTTCCTTTTCTTTACACCTTTATTTTCCATTTTTCTTCTTCCTCTCTACATCTAAGGATTAAGCTTGTATTTCGAATTCAACTTGGGAACTTGGATTGATTGTAAGTACTCACTTCTCTTATTTGATTCATGAATAATGGTTATTTGAGAGGAATGATTATGATTGTTGAATTTGATATTCGTAGCTAAATCTGATAGCTAGGGATAGGGAATGATTATTCTTGTTTAACGTGCATTTGTCGGGCTCAAGTTGGTTCATGCTTATGTGAGTTGAATTGATTAGGAATTGATGAATTTGTGCTTGATAGTTTGATATAATCGAAGGGTGACACTTCGATCTTGCAATTGGTAACGATTGAATATCGATTTGTCGAGTTAGGATTTGTTGATTCCATATGATTAGTTGATTAAACACCTTCTAATTGAATTAGCGGCTTTTAGAACCGAAAGAGGAGAAGTCGTAGACCTAGGCTCGCATGAGATAGATGATTTCGTAGCTGAATAATCTATGGGTTGAGATTGAAATACGTGCTTGTCGATGACCCGTCCCTTGTTACGAAAAGTTATTGGGACTGGGATAATTGGCCTGTGTTGTATGCTCGAGCTTGTTCATCTATGTTCAATCCCTTGTTACGAAAAGTTATTGGAAGCGAACCGCTAGATGTTTAAGCGAGAGTGTCAATCTCGAACCGAACAATTGCCTGCCCGGCTTTGCTAGAACTTGAATTAATTATCCCCGACTCCCTAGCTTCTCCATCTTTGTTTCGTTTATATTTTTAGGTATATTATTGTTTTATATTATTTCTTAGCTGGTAATTATTCAATCCTTATCTGATTAGAGTGTGTAGGATTTATTTTCTTTTTATGTGTGATTGATACCAAAGCTAGGTTCTGAACCGCCTTCCTCGAGAGATCGACCCGGGAAACGAATCCTTGATTCGGTACTCGGTAAAATATAACAATTTGTACACCCATTCTTGTTGCATTTTTTCCTTGTTATTTTCCTTTCTTTTTCCCCCATATTAGTTTTTTTAGTTAGTTTTTATCTCGTTTTGTAGTTTATTGCGTGTTTTCCTCTATCTTGGTTTTTCTTGTGTTTTCCGTATGTTTTTCCAGTTTTTCTTGTTTTTGGTGTGCAGGTCAAAAGCCCGTGAGGAATACGTTTAGCTTGAAAACGGGCTGGGAAATCATGGTTAGATAGATGGGTTCGTTGGCTACAAGTAGGAAAAAGCGGAACTCAATTCCGAGTTCAGACGAATCCGAACGGGGCCGATACGTAAAGTCCAGCAAGCTGCCGACTATTTGAAGGTTGGAAAACTCTAGAGGATTTGTACTATTCGAAAAATCTGGTCAAGAAAGCATCATTGAATAGAGGGGTCCGTTAGCGACGCGTAGGAAAAAACGGAACTCAATTCCGTGTTCGGACGAGCCCAAACGAGCCCAAAACGCAAAAGTCGCGCAGTCGAGCCAGCAGCCCCGCGCGCCGCGGCTCGGCAACCCTCAGCGGCGCGGCACTGACCCCCTCCACGGCGCGAAACAGCCCCACGCCGCGCCACACACTTTCTCCACGGCGTTAAGCACTCCACGGGCCTTCAGAGAATGCTGCTTCGCGCGCCACGCCGTGCTACCCCTGCCGTGCCGCGCCACATGGATGCTCCACGCCGTGTCACTATTTCTCACGCCGTGAAGACCTGCTCCTATATATATTTGCATCGGGATTTCGACAGAATTAATCTCCCCGCCTGGGAGTAAAAACCCTAAGCTCGATAACTCCACGACATAACTCCTTTCTCTGCTTCTTCTTCTTCGTTTTTCCTTTTCTTTACACCTTTATTTTCCATTTTTCTTCTTCCTCTCTACATCTAAGGATTAAGCTTGTATTTCGAATTCAACTTGGGAACTTGGATTGATTGTAAGTACTCACTTCTCTTATTTGATTCATGAATAATGGTTATTTGAGAGGAATGATTATGATTGTTGAATTTGATATTCGTAGCTAAATCTGATAGCTAGGGATAGGGAATGATTATTCTTGTTTAACGTGCATTTGTCGGGCTCAAGTTGGTTCATGCTTATGTGAGTTGAATTGATTAGGAATTGATGAATTTGCGCTTGATAGTTTGATATAATCGAAGGGTGACACTTCGATCTTGCAATTGGTAACGATTGAATATCGATTTGTCGAGTGAGGATTTGTTGATTCCATATGATTAGTTGATTAAACACCTTCTAATTGAATTAGCGGCTTTTAGAACCGAAAGGGGAGAAGTCATAGACCTAGGCTCGCATGAGATAGATGATTTCATAGCTGAATAATCTATGGGTTGAGATTGAAATACGTGCTTGTCGATGACCCGTCCCTTGTTATGAGAAGTTATTGGGACTGGGATAATTGGCCTGTGTTGTATGCTCGAGCTTGTTCATATATGTTCAATCCCTTGTTACGAAAAGTTATTGGGAGTGAACCGCTAGATGTTTAAGCGAGAGTGTCAATCTCGAACCGAACAATTGACTGCCCGGCTTTACTAGAACTTGAATTAATTATCCCCGACTCCCTAGCTTCTCCATCTTTGTTTCGTTTATATTTTTAGGTATATTATTGTTTTTATATTATTTCTTAGCTGGTAATTATTCAATCCTTATCTGATTAGAGTGTGTAGGATTTATTTTCTTTTTATGTGTGATCGATACCAAAGCTAGGTTCCGAACTGCCTTCCTCTAGAGATCGACCTGGGAAACGAATCCTTGATTCGGTACTCGGTAAAATATAACAATTTGTACACAACAGATACAGGTGCTTATTCTAGTATCTTAATGCTTCGAACCTTTGAAAGAATGGTTATCGACCCAGCCGAGCTTAAGGCCTGCAAAGATCAAGTTCAAGGCTTTAATGGAAGCATCACATGTCCACTTGGTGAAATCACCATGCCCATCCTATTTGGAGTCCTTGGACAAGCCTCTAAAGTTATTATAGAGAAGGAACACATTATGGCGATCAATATGAAGCCCGAGGAATGGCATGGACCAAGCCTTGGATTGAACCTTCCCCAGCAATCCATATGGCAGAAAATATCATAGAAGAGGCGAACGAGAATTTGAAGGAAGTCTCTCAAGACCCTCAACCATCAAATATTACCTCGGTACACCATGAAACCGAGATGGAGACAGAAAATTCCGAGCTCACGATGAACTTGAAAGAAATGTTACAAGACAATTTGATCTGAGATCGTGGAAGGCATCCCGACAAGGAACCAATGAAGGAAGAGGATGAACTTGATCCTCGAACTCAATTCTAAGAAAAAAAGTAAAAGTGACCAAGCAGAGCCGTCCGAAGAAATCGAAACAATTTTCATCAACGAGCCTATTTGTGACAATCCACTCCGAATTGGGGCCAATCTACAAGAACTTATACGAACACAACTCATTCAGTTTCTCCGGGCGAACCCCGATGTATTTGCCTGGAAACACGAAGACATGAAAGGTATTGACCCTAAGGTGGCAAGTCACCGACTTAATCTGGATAATACAATAAAGCCAGTTGTTCAAAAAAGATGCAAGCTCGGTCCTGATCGTCAAAAGGCCTTAGAAGAAGAGGTCAAGAAACTTATCGATAACAAATTCATCCAAGAGACCAAATACCTGACTTAGGTATCGAACCCCGTATTGGTCAAAAGCAATGGCATGTGGTGTATCTTTATTGACTTTTCTGACTTAAACAAAGCGTGTCCCAAAGACAGTTATCCACTACCACATATTGATTATGGTGAACGCCACATCAGGGCACAAACTCATGAACTTCATGGACGCTTATTCGAGTTATAATCAAATTCCAATGGATCCAAAGGAAGCAAAACATACTTATTTTTATTCAGCCCGAGGTCTATATTGCTATACCATGATGCCATTCGCTCATTAACTCTTTCCTTTCTCTCTTCTTATTTCTTTTGAATCCCGGCGCCAAGAATACATTGAACATCGAGAATTGAATACCTAAAAGAATATGTTGTTGAAAACCTGTCAAACCGTTACTTCAGCACCGGAGGAAGGGTCCGTTTCAATACGCGGCGAAGGATCAGAAGTCTAGATCTTGTCGGCTCCTCCTTCCCCACTTTCTTGATCACTGAGATGAATCTCGACAACGAATGAATATGAATATATTTAAAATGAAGACACTAATCTAGCCAAGGAGATGAAGAAATGGTCCTACATTTTGTCTCTGTGGGCCGAGGAGAAAGAGGGATCGGCGTGTACATAAGAGAAGCAAGGAAGTCAACCTCATACAACATGGATTCTGACAATCCAGTTGGACTCTCATATTGATCCGAATGAATCATCCTTTCCACGTAGGTAAATCTTTGCATGCTGGGCAAGAGGATAACAAATCGGCCTCAAGAATGCTGGGGCCACATATCAAAGATTAGTCAACAAGATGTTCACCAAACTCATTGGACAAACAATGGAAGTCTATGTTGATGACATGTTAGTTAAAGTTGTGCATGCTGCCGACCACATAAGTCATTTACGAGATATGTTCAACATCCTCAGAGATTGTTCCATGGTGTTGAATTCAAAAAAGTGCACGTTTGGAGACGGCTCAAGCAAATTTTTGGGGTACATTGTCACGCAACGTGGAATTGAAGCCAACCCCTTGAAGATAAAATCTATTCTCGAATTATCGCCTTCTACGTCGGTCAAAGGTGTGCAAGCTCTCACTGGCCGACTTGCTGCCTTGAACAGATTTATCTCCAAATCAACAGATTGTTGCAAACCTTTCTTCTATAAAGAAAGAAAAACATTTTGAATGGACCGAGGAATGTCAACAAGCCTTGGTCAACATTAAAGACACGCTCGTCCAACCACCGACTTTATAAAAGCCGATCGCAGATGAAATGTTGTATTTATACTTTGAAGTAAGTGAATCTGCCATTAGTCCTGTCCTTATACGAGAAGAAGGACATCAACAATATCCCATCTTTTACATCAGCAAGGCTCTGAATGAAGCCGAGTTACGATACATGCCTATCAAAAAGTTAGCTTATGCATTAGTTACCGCAGCTCGGAAATTACGACAGTACTTTCAAGAACACTTTGTTACGGTGCTCACCTCTTATCCATTAAGACTAATTCTTCACCGACCTGATACTTCAAGCAGAATGGTTAAATGGGCAATCGAACTCGGACAAAATGATATTCATTATAAACCGAGGACAACTATTAAAGCACAAGTTCTCTCTGACTTCATTGCCGAATTTACTCCACCAACTGAAGAAACTAGTAACAATCAATCATGGACTTTATACGTGGATGGCACTTCAACTATGCACCAAGCTGGTGGTGGCATTGTTTTAGCCGATTCAGGCAACAAGATGTTTTGTCACTCTGTCAAATTCTTATTCCCAACCACTAACAACGATGCTGAGTACGAAGCATTACTCTCTGGCTTAAATTTGGCGGAATCCATGAACGTAACTAAGCTCAAGGTATTCTCTGACTCACAACTACTTGTAAATCAAATCCACGGAGAATTTGAAGTTAAAGAACCTCGGTTGGTGCCATATTTGGCACTTGCGAAACAAAAGTTATCCAAGTTCAAAGTACAAATGGAGCATATACCCCGTTCCCAAAACGTTCCAGCTGATGCTCTCTCAAGACTTGCATCAAGCACCGGTATAGAGAATGTCGAATATGTCCAAGTCGGTCAACAAGAACAACCATCAACTTCCATCAATGAAGTCATGGATGCTGAATTACAGAAGGATCCGACTAGGATGACACCAATCATAACGTATCTGGAAACAGGGGCCTTGCCAGAAAATTCCAAAGAAGCTAGATTTATTGCTATTATCCTCAACATTAAAGGGAGGATTTATTGATATTATCCTCAACATTTCTTCCAGCTCAATTCCTACAACAAACTTAGCTAATCTCGGTATAAAGTTAGCCGACGAACCGACCTTGCACATAAAATTAAATCAAACTCACTTATGGCGGTGAACCGACCTCGCAGAAAAGACAAAAACCAACCTCTCGAACATTCCTTCCTGAAGATTATCCACACAAACCGAGGTCCGAGGTAGCTGGATCCCATAGCAGGTGACAAGGCGCATACCTGATTGGGCCACATATTACATTTGTAATCATTGATGTCTCCCTACTGCCCTACAGACCGCTTTAATGAAGCTGCTCAACATTAAATGCGATCTAATCTACCTTGTACGAAAAGTCAAAGGCACCGTACCATAAATAGCAGAATTTATTATTGTACGGAGATACTTTTTTTGGCACATTGTACACGCACATGCAAAAATAACTCGGTTATAGAAAAAAACCGACTTCTTGTACTCAACAAAAAGATAGCAACAATACAAAATTAACATCGTTTTTGCTTTAATTACACTTTGCTATCATTTAATATTGTTGTTAAATTTCATACAACAACATATCACAACAGTTTTGCTAAAAATATGTCTTCTCAATGCATTAATAAAGGTGTGCATACCAAGAAGGATAAATATATTCTTGACGTTCAACTATGCGAAAGGTGATGCGATTGTCACACTTTGTTTGCAGTTCTACGAAATTATTTTTTTATATTTACGGATATTTTCTAATCCAGTGTTCATTCCGTTGTGAGTCGCATATTGTTCGCAGAAATAGTTTATTTGTTATTTATTTTTGACATTATGTGATGGGGACACTATGCGGTTTATCCCACATTGTTCACATTTCTGCGAATAATTTTTGCGTATTTTCTACTCTTCTCAGCGCATTAATAACAACGGCGCTTGTATCAAATAGAATATCTTCTTGAGGATACGTATAAGTCTTTTTGTCAATTTCTAAAAGATAAATAAGGGTTATAATTTGCTAGAGTTCTCCTATTTACCTATGAATAAGAGTTTCAGTTTGCTATGGCTTACAATTTCCTTCGTCATTCTTCCTTCATTTTTCTTTTAGGGTTTACAATGTGCCCTTTTGGAGAGAATTTGTCTCAATCATCTCTTACACATGGGATGAGTGTAGATACTTACATGAATAAAGACTTATATGTCAAAGTTGTCATAGTAGGGCAGTCAACCCATGGAGTAAGCTCTTTGGAACAAAGTTATATGCTGAAGTCGTCTCGGAAGGGCAGTTAACCTACCCTTCGAAACTTGCAACGAACCTTATTCTCCCTATCTCCAGCACAGGTTCTCCTCCCCGTCCTTAAAAGGAGGGGTGATAGAAGAAGTAGCTACCAAAACAGAGAGCATGTAGAAGCATGTCCTCAGACATGATTTTTCGTTCTTGCTTCACTACCATTGAGACGATTGTCCTTTGACAAGATTTCTCGTTCTTGGCCTGATTTCACCATCATTATATCAATATTTGAGACGGTTGAGAGAGGAGGAGAATGTATCTTTTTACTTGTAGACTTATCTCTATTTTGCAAATAGATTTTTAAGGAATATAGGATCATGTAAACTTTTTGAAGTGCAAATCGTCTGCGTCAATGTGCACCGCAGAATTTAACTATAACTCTTTAAGTTTTGGAATTTTTGTTTAATATTTATTATATTTCAGTTTGCTGGACTTTTGGATTGTTGAATTGTGTTGAAGTGTGGCATTGATATGATATCCAGAGGTAGAAGATAAACTCTAAACCCCAATTGTGACATGTTTGTTTACATATACGACACTCTGCGTTTTGATCGTCAGCGGCCTGAGGAAATAAACCAGTGTCTGGTTCATTAGTAAAGTAACCGTTGGCGTGAAAATGAATATAATCGCTTCCATTGTTTTTTTTTCGTATTAAATAATAATTATGCGATAAATATGTGTTGAAACATTTGTCGAGTAATAATCGCAGATTTGTACTGACGCAAAAACAGTCGCATAATGACTCATATTTTTTTAGACAATCACTTCTTCGAACAATCATTTCTGCAATTCAAAACAGTTGTATCTCTTTGACAGGCTGCCTTAGAGTGTCCAAAATGCTTCATTTTTATTTTTTTTATATTTAATTATAACTATGTGACGAGTATACATCATAACAGCTTTCATGTAATAATCACAAATTACTGACAAAAGTTCACCAAAAATAAAATTTTAAAAAGTTAATGTGCGATTAATTATGCATTTAACGTTTTGCATAATAATCGCATTTTTAGTAAAAAAAAATAAAAATAATGGTTCTATTGATCATAGTTCCAATGCATTATTAATAAAAGAAATAAATATAACAATTATGTGATTCAAACACTCGCATAATGACTCCAATTTTCTTAATTAAATCTGCCATACAAACAGTCCTTTCTGATGCCTTGAAACATCACGTATCAATAAATACTATATAAATGATTAAGAGGCAACTTGAAATGTTATGTGTCAGTGTAAATACTACACAAATAAAGACCAAAAAATCATCCACATCACTATCACTATCCACATTCCAATCGCAGGTTCATGTATTAATTTCATGGCCCGGATTACGTCCCTATCCTTTTGCGACAGAAAGTCAAAGATACTGCAGCAAGTGCGATCTCATTATATAGTAAAATATGCAAAGTTAATCGAGAACGTGCGTAAGACGCAGAGAATCGTGTGAACAGTTCAATCAATCGCGAGTTTGGCACATTTTAGTCGCAGATCATTTCTTGCACCTATTTTTACATTTTTCCAATTTATTCTCAATTATGAACTTTTCGTGTAAGCCCTACAAAGGTTGTCCGCTCAGGAACATTACACCAGAAAAGAATGAAGGAGGTTTTCAACATCTTGAATCCCAAAAGTGTTTAAGAATGAAAATCCCCAAAACAATGAGGCGGAGGATCGTGGGTTTGGTCGAGATCAACAACCAAAGGAACTGACAAAAAAATAGGGATGAAAACTTGTACGAACTGATGGAGCATATTCTGATCAAAGACGAGAACCATTTAGCCACATACATAAACCTGCGACCGGGAATGTATTTTGTATTTTTCATGGTTAAGATCGTCTACCTCCATTCTGATCACAGGCTCATGTATTAGTTTCAAGGTTCTCGTCTTTGATCAGTGTATGTTTGATCAGTTCATATAAGTCATCGTCCCTATCCTTTCCATCAGGTTCCTTCGGTTGTTGATCTCGGCTCAGCCCAGGATCCTCCTCTTCATTGCTTTAGGGATTTCCATTCTTAGAATCTTTTGGAAATTTAAGATGTTGAAAACCACCTTCATGTGTTATGTTACAGCGTTCCCAAGAGGACGACGTTTCTAGGACTTACACGAAAAGTTGATAATTGAGAAAAAAAGTGGAAAAATGTAAAAACATATACAAGAAGCTGATCTGTGACTAAAATGCGACAGACCCGTGATTGACAAAATTGTTCACACAATAATGTGCATCTTACGCACTTCCTCAATTAACTTCGCATGTTTTATCATATAATAAGATCGCACTTGCTGAATTATCTTTTTCTGAATTTGCGTAGTTTATCGAATAATTTGTTTTGCATTTTATCAACTATCTTCGTTTGTATGTCGCATAGTTAATCACATAAAATTTTACACTATATCAATTATATTTGCCTGTCTGGCACATAGATTATCGGATAAGTAATTCGCACTTGCTCAATGAACTTCCATGTCTGTCATATAGTTTCTCTCATAAGTAATTCGCACTTTATCAATTATCTTCGACTGTCTGTCTGTATAGCTTATCATATAGTAATTCGTACTTGCTCAATTATCTTCGTTTGTCTGCCGCATCAATTATCTTCGTCTATCTCTCGCATAGTTTATCGCATAAGTAAGTCACGCTTTATCAATTAACTTCTAGTGCTTGTTGCATAATTTATCACATAACTAATTTGCACTTGCTCAATTATCTTCGACAGTCTAGTGGATCGTTTATCGCATAAAGAAATCGCACTTGCTCAATGAACTTCGTCTGTTTGTCACATCTTTTATCGCATAAGTAATTGGCACTTACTCAAATATCTTCATTTGTTTGTTGCATAGTTTATCACACAAGTAATTCACACTTGCTCAATTATCTTTGTTTGTATGTCTCATAGTTTATCGTATAAATATGTTTCACACTTTATCAATTATCTTCGTCTGTTTGTCGCATAATTTGTCTCATAATATGTTTCTCACTTTATTCGTTATCTTCGCCTATTTGTCCTCTTGTTTATCACATAATTTGTCGCACTTTATCAGTAAATTTGTATCGATTATCTTGACTTGTCTATGGCGTAGTTTATCGCATGAATATTTTGCATTTTATCAACTATCTATTCCTCTCTTTCGCATAGCTGTCGCATAAATATTTGCACTTTTTCAATTATCTTTGCATGTTTGTCGCATAGTTTCTGTTTCGCACTTTATCAATTTTCTACGGTATTGTTTATCACATAATTTATTTCGCACCTTATCAATTATATGCGTTTGTCTATCTCATATCGTATCGTATAATTATTTCGCACTTTATCGATTATTTTGACTGGTTTGTCGCATAGTTTATGGCATAAATATTTCGCATATTATCAATTATCTTCTTATCTCTTTTACATAAATATTTCGCACTTTATCAATTATTTCTATTTGTATATCGCATTATTTATCGCATAATTTATTTTGCACTCTATCAATTTTCTTCGTCTGTCTGTCGCATAGTGTATCGCATAATTATTTCGCATTTTATCAATTATATTCGCATGTCTGTCGCATATTCTATTGCATGAATTTTCTCATTTATCGATTATCTTCACCTATTTGTCGCGTAGTTTATCACATAATTTATTTCGTACTTATGTTTTATCAATTATCTTCGTTTGTCTATCGCATTGTTAATCACATAAGTTGTTTCACACTTTTTGAGGTAAAAAAATTAACTTTAGTTGTTTCGTACTTTTTAAGGTGAAAAAATTAACATAAATGTGAAAACTTAACCCCTTCTCAAAACGGGACAAAAATAGTTATTTTCTCTTCTTCTTTAACTNAAAAAAAAAAAAATACATAAAACACCCCATTCATATTTTAAGGCTTCAAGGAATGACTTTGCTGCTCTGCCACGCACGCATCGAGCCTTCCAAACTTGCAGGTAATATGTTTGATTCGTAAATTGAAATGAAAATGTCAAGCATAGAAGTTTGTAAGGTAACTAGATGTTGCTGGAAATAAGCAAAACCCCATTACAGCAATTGTAATTATCCAATTAAATTCCAAGTTCAAATCCTGAAATTTTGTATCCTTATCGGCAGCTTAAAGTTATTTAGTCTATGTTTGATAAGTGAGTTTTAAATTTATAGTTTTACAGCTGAAAAACTAATTTATATGATAAATGTTTTTAGTAAAATTAACTGATAAGTCAACTCAAATAAAATTTTCAACTAACTTATTTAAAAAACTACCAAAAAGAACTTATAATATAAATTCGAGCTTTTTAAATAAACTCATTGTCAAACCAAGCTTATTTGTGTTAGCTTATGGTGCTTACCAAATACACTCTAACTGAGAGAAACAATGAAAAAAATACATGCACATCACCGGAATTGAACCACAAAAACTCTAGAGTTCAGGGACAATGAACACTAACAAAACTGAGGACTAATAATACATTTGAGCAGTTCACCAAATCACATTCAAAATGTTTTTTGACATCCAATAACGCAAAAGATTTAACAAATATGTGGACAATATGATTGATGAGTTTTCTATTAGACAATAATAGGACGACCCAAAAAAAATGGCTATAAATCCAAGATTTAGCAACTACCTACCAGAACTCACACACCAACTATATACATCTACAAATTACCCGTGTACATGACCAACACAAGGTAAGTTACGTGGATGCAGATCAAACGCAAAACTGCAGTTGCAGGCATTGAATCCCATTGAAGCCAAAACTTAAAACGAGAACCCCATGGAGTTCTCGAGTGCAGCAACTTTAAAAGAAACCCCATTTTCTTACCATTTTTCAACATAAACTCAGTTGACAACATTTGTATACAAATCTATATTGTATATATCTCAGCATTAGAAAGAAACTTCTCTCCTACAGATCACGTACCTTTCAAGAACCTTACCTAGCCAGAGGATATAAACCACATGTTAGAGAGTGAAACATGAGATTATAATTCATTTTACCATAACTTCGCGGAATGACTCGGTTTTCCGTTTGGTCAACAATTATCTTTTATTTCTCCAAAAGGACATTCTCAACTTCTCTGAACTCAAGAAATTCTTTCCACTGTATTTGGAATAGCATTTCCATCAAAAACAGCTGCCTCCACAAACTCAAGCTGCTCATCACCACTCTCCACAAGCTCAATTTCTTCTATTTTAGACAAGACTTTAAGAAAATCTGAAGGAATAGCTGCGGGATCCAATTCAAGACAACCTCTAAGTGACTTTGATCCTTCTTTCCCAGTGAGCGAATGGCAAGGCACCTGATGAGAGAACCGGGCCATTTCTTGTTTAGGAATTCTTCTTATTTCATTTGGATCAAGACTCTGATGAAAAACGGCTTTGAAACCAGCAACTTTCACGAGCGGAATGACAATTACTCCAAACTCCTCGTCACAGTCTTCAAGTACTTCAACCATATCATATTTGTATATTACTTCACACTCAGTGAGCTCATTCCACTCAGCTGACCAATTCCTATATAAAGCCCAGACATCCCCTTTCCGAGGAAATATTTGAACGGTCTTCGAACATTGTTTCGTCCATCTAACAACATGCGAGAAACAATCCACCGAGTCACAATTTTCAGCTCTGCCTACTTTGAATTCCCCACATGTCATGGAAAATCCATTTGAGAACCAATTCACATGGCCCAGCTTGTTGTGGGTTACGGACCTTAGCCAACTCATTTTCACCATGAATGGATTTACAGAGATCACGCTTTGAATCATCGCGTAGTGTCGAGGCATCCCGTCAAGATCATCATACACCGCCCATACTTGGTTGTCAAGAAAACACTTTTCTGTTCTGCCTTTGTCAAAATCATAAAAATCAGGGTCCAAAACATCTACCGACATTTTCTCAACCAGTTCACTGCCCTGATAAGCAGCCTTTACAAACGCGAGATCTCTCGGTGGAAGTTGACTCTCCTCTGATTCACATAGCACGATAGGGTTGCATATGGAACCATGTGCCGAACAGTTATTGTCCTTAGCATTTGCAGTTTTATCTTCTCCACAAGTTCCACCAACATCCACACCAGCCACCTTTGACACCACTGTAGTCGGAATGCATTCGTTCAGTTTCTCACATATTTGCTCGTGAGCTTTCTCCATAAGCAAGCATTTAATGTTCACACGGCACATGCGATCACGCTTGTTCGTGCATTTTTGGAGGTTCTCCCTTTTAAAGCGCGAAAAGTTCGCTTGGGAAAGCATTTTGCCTTCAGAGTTGACTCGCTTCATATTTTCCACTTTGCTCGAACCACAATCATCGACCCCTTTCCTTTTCTTGGCAAAATCAGAATGCACAAAGGAGACCTCCGCAGGTCTTTTGGACGACACATGGTTTTTCCTCCTTAACGCCTCTTCTTTCCTTGCGGCAGCCTGTGTTTTATGTCTATCCCGTTTGACTTTCTCATAAGCCTGTCTGACCATACTTGCAGCCTGGGTAGCAGCTTTGGGATCCGTTGACTCAGAGAAAGGAACCCACTGGAAAGTATTGGGGTTCGACTGTTGAGAACTGCCCGCGTGCAAGGATGGTGCCTTTGAGATCTTGGTAGATGGAGGATCAATTTCGACCGCAAAGTAGGCCTCATGACAATTCGGGCAGAGAAGGTTGTGGTTCAGATACATTCTGAGATACTCATACTGCATCTTGCACCGGTGGCAAACTGTCCAGAAAGTGCGGCGTTCCTTTTTACGAGTTGGGTTGGGAACGGATGACGAATTATTTTTACCGACATTATTATTGTTGTAATTGTTCTTATTACCATTTGAAGCTCGCATTTGTGAATCCGAGCTGTTTGCAAAGTTGTAAAACCCGTCTCTTGTGGTCTGATCAGTCTGCTGCTGCTGGTACTGATAAGCAGCTCGGCACCTTTGGTCATATGCTGCTTTCTTGTGCTTGTCCGAAAGAAGACTCCACGCTTGAGAGACGATTTGAAATGCCCCTTCAGCACCGATGGACCGGTTTTTATCTGGATGAAGCAAAAGGGCTAATTTTCTGTACTGTTTTCTTATGGTCTCGTCATCGGCCACAGGGGTTACGCCGAGCACGCCGTACCAATTAGATTCCCCATGCAGTTTCTCGTCTTCAGCAGAGATGTATACATTGAGGGTCAACAACATTTGAGATATTCCATCAAGTTCGGGATATATCTTTTGGGCCTTGAGAGCGAATTTTCTAGCCCCCTTGATGTCCTTGGCGAGAAATTTCCTCTCGGCAATTTCTTTGGCTCTCAAAGCCTCATCTCTGTTGCAGTCCATCTACCCCTTGTTCAGCTCTCACGCTACAAATATCTCTCTATGTACAAATATATATATAAATATATTCCCAGAAAAAAGGAGATTATATCAGTAACTTGTTCCAGAATCAGTGCTTAGAATGAATAAAAATTCCAGTGCAGCAAAGAAACATATTGCTGAACAACTGAAAGATGGGTAGTTCATCCTTAAGTATAATTGTGAGAATCACATAAGATCCAAATTTTGACAAAAAGGATTTAAGTCCATGAGAGAAAGAAAATGCAGCAAAATAATGTATAAGATATCAATAAGATCTACTAGATGAATATCATACACCAAAAAACTTCTCCTGCTCAATCTAAATCTTCATGACCCAGCTGCTAAATTAAGCATCAAGCAAACTCAAAGAAAGAAAAACAAAATAGCATTGTGACAAGGAAAAAAATAATTAGTACGCTAATGTGCAGAACCGAAAAGCCAATGAAAATTCGGCGAAATCATAAACAGGCAGTAGCAATCAGCAAGAAAGGATCAATGCTCAATCAAAAAAATAAACAAAAGAAAAACAGAATCGTCATTGTCCAAAAAAAAAAACCCTAATCTATCGGTACAAACACAGAATGCGAGTGGAGACTAGAGCGAGGATTACCAATACGAGAGAAATCCAGTATGGTCTCTGTACAAGTAAAGCGGAGAGTTCATCAGCGGCAAAACGAGCAGATTATTTCAAACTGTCCCAAAGATGTTTCCTCCCAAAATCAATTTCATGAGAAAAGATCTCAGCGCTCAAGCGGTGAATTGTCAGTCGTTAAACTTGAAAAACAAATAAAAGTACGAGAAATGGGGATTCTCTCTGTCCTCCACTGCGATTTCGTGGATAATTTTAACTAACCACGGTTATATTTCAATCATAATTTGTCTGGGAGACTAACTATGGTTAAACTTGAAATTAGGTAAGCTTTATAATACTAGTAATATATAATTGCCGAATGCGTTGATATGCTCTAACATTTCAGAATTCTATGTGGCAAAAAGTCATATTTGAAAGTCAGGATTGGATATAAATTTTTTTATACAAAAATAAGTAGATTTAGATTTCATTTAATGTCTATATTATTCTCATCAAATCTTAATTGATCTCTTACTTCTTTTCTACTACAATTATTTTCCATAAATTATTTTAACTTTTCCTTTTTCCTGCATTACCATATATTGCATCTCATTTTCTTTATTAATTCATACATCAATTATTATAAATGTTTATTCTTATTATTTTAGAAAACTTATAACTTTCTTAGTTTGTATTTTACTTTTCATATATGATGTATCGAATTATTTATCTTTTAACAATCTTCGATTTGACATCCATGTTATATATATATATATATATATATATATATATATATGGTCGCGCTCCAATGAGAATGGTGCTTGGTGAAAGAAATAAGAATAAATCGTAGCTAATGACTTAAAAAAAAAACCAAAATTATACCTTTATTAAGGGTAATGTAGTAATTTTTTATATATCATCCAAAAAGGTGGGTCCCCACTATACATTAATGCACATGCCACCTACCACCTAACACCTGCCAACTACACCCATAAATTGGTCGACCCACCCCACCCCACTCCACCCCACGCTCTCTCACACACATGACACACACACAATATTAACTCAGACACACACACACACAATATTAACTCTAACACCACTCTCGAACACCGGCGACCTCGCCGCCGCCACCAGCCAGCCGTGGACGTTCGGCTGCCAGTCACTGTAACCAGCCGCCGCCAGGGATGCAGACACACCCTACAAACTTTTCGAAGCGAAGTGAAGTCAAAGAGCTCAAGGTCTTTTCTGTTGGAAGATTATTGAAGACGAGCCGCTGGCACACACACACATCCACGCCCCTGTCGCCTTCCCGCCAGCGACCTACTGCTCCGCCGCCAACGCCGAGCATCCCGCCACCGTCGAAGCAGCCATTATTCGGTTCACGAAACCTGCAACAAATCACACACAATTTCCGGCGGCCTTTACAAGAGTGGCGAGTCGTCGCTCAAGTCGTCGTCACTGGCGTCATCCTCAACTGCCAAGCTCTGCATAAACATCCTAGGTTCAGATGCAGCGAAGCCAGAGAAATCGACCTTCAAGCTCGAAGGTCGAGCTTCAATGGCAGATTTTGTTTTAAAAAAAAAAATTAGAGCCGAACATTGCCGGTAGCAGTCGCCGGAAAGAGAAGCTGACGGCGTGGGGTTGGTTGGGGCAGAGGAGAAAAGTTTGGTGGTTGGGTATTATTTTTGAAAATTAGACAATGTGCATGGACTTGATTGTAATTTTATGAATTTTGAATAAATTTCAATTTGGTTTGTTGATAAACGGATTTAACCAACGTAATTAAGGTAAAAAATACAATAGAGATTGCAGAAAATATGATTTTTATTAAAGATATTGAAGTCGGTTACAGAATTGGAAGGTCGGTTTTTTTTAGTACACCAAGTCGGTAGCAGAGAAAACCGAGATAATAAATGTATGAGTTTTTGTGTCTTGGAGCCGAATCCTCGTATTGTCTTTAATGCGGCTATTTATAGTTATGCTTGGCACACCTCCCAAGATAAATTGACTTTATTTAACAAGGATTTGACGGCTTAGGGGCGGCAATGACGTAGGCAAGCTTTTTTAGGTAATGATGAGCATGGGCGCTCCTCTACGATAGAATTTTAGTCTCCCATGACTTCCGATAAGCTGCTCTCTAACCGAGGTGGCAATCTTGAGATTCTAGCTTTTATCCTGACGACCTTTGGGATTTACCGTTTGTCTTCGGACGTCGTTGAGAACCGAGGTGATATTTCCGAGGTGTCAATCAATTTAATTTTTATTGTCAAAGACCCGGTTCGTGGTTTGGCCTTTATGAAATCTTTAATCTATCCTTTGTCATAATGCATTTGATCCTGATATCAACATAGAGGCCCCTGGCATTAAGAAGTACGCAAATAAGTGTGCTTTTTAATGACATCCTTTCCTCAATCGTCCTCCATTTCGAAATTCGCATATAGATCCTTTACAAGTTAAGCCGAGGTAATCTCCTTAGATAAGAATCACATTTTCGCTCCTATGATAGAGCTATTTAAGACCAGAAGACGATTACAGAGCAGTTTTTGAGAGGTTATGAACGTGTCTTTTCCACTACTCTTCCCAACGGGCACGTACCATAAATTTCGGATATTAACTTTAACAATTTCGGGACACGCGTACGTGCGAGATTACACCTCAAACTTTATGTCAGAATTTAAGGAGATTTCCCTCAAACGACGCGACGGTTTCTCCGCGCCTCTCCATCTTCAACGGTTAGAAAATATCGTATATATATACATATAGGTTCACAGTCACCATTTACGAAATCTTCATTCAAGCAACTTTTCTATCTTCTCGATTATCTAATTGTTTCTTTCACCTCTCCTATTCTTCCTTCATATCTCGACAAATCTAGAATTCCTTAAGAGTTTACTCCAATTTTCGGTAAGCCCTAATTTCCTCTTTCTATTTCTTAATTCCTTTGCGTTGTTTTTTCTGGCCGTGATTATGACGGTGAGCGGTGAGCAAGTGGAGCCAAGCAGCAGCCGAACTGTGTCGGATATGAGGTTGGATGAAGAGTTGATGGAGTTGATGGGGGATTACTACCGGTGGGACCCTGTTTATGTAGAACGTCTAGACATCCGTAAGAACAATGTTAAAGGAGACGCCGAGGTGGAACGAGATATCCCCGTGAGGTCGGGGTATTGGAATCGCCCTACTCGGCGCTGGCCTGACGACGATGTTCTGTTTCTAGGGGAGCCCAGCATTATGACTGATGCTGACGTAGTCCTACTTCGCGAGTCGGTGCGGATCCCCTCGCCGGTTAGAATATTTGCTCCTTATCCGGGAGAGAGAATTCACTGTCCTCCCCCCGGTTGTATTGGAATTTTTGCTGAGAGTTTAATGTCGGGGCTCAGGTTTTCTTTAGACAACGTGATCACCGATTACTTGCGTGATTGGGGGATTAGCATCAGTCAAGTGACCCCCAATAGTTGGAAGAAGATCATAGGAATTATGGTTCTTCTGGCGCAGAAGAAACAGCCTTTCCCAACGATTGATGAATTGAGAAGTATATTTCATTTTAAAAGGAGTAGGGAACGCGAAGGGGTTCCACCAACTGGTTATTTTTTCTGTGCGGCAAGGCCACAATACGACTTGAAGATGGGGCAGCTGATCACAGGGATCCCAGAGACTCTTCACGGCTTCCAGGACGAATGGCTGTGGGTTGGTGGGGATTGGCAATCCCCCGACTTCCGACTTGAGACACCCATTGATGGGATGACAATCCCAACCCGAGTTGTTTCTTCTTTTCGTAAGTCTCTCTCTTCTTCCCGAAATCTCCTGACGACATGTTTTTCTTTCGCTAACAGGTCGGGCCTTTTCGTATATGTAGCCAAAAGGAAGTCAGAACCCAGACTCAGCGGGGAATTCAGGGAGAAACTCGAGGATTTGGCAAAACTAAGTGTTTCGGAGCGTAAGTGGTCTTTGCTGACGAAGAATTCAAAGCTTGCCGATGCCAAATTAGGAGCGAAGAAGGCTATTCCCGACTTCGATCCTGGTAAGTTTTCTATTGCTTAAGTTATTTCTTCGTTTGCTTTCCTTTTTCTTCCGCATAAATTGAAGGAACCCTTTTGTTGTATATTTTCTCCAGTTTATTACCCGTTACTCGGTTTCTTCGGTTTCAAATCTGTTCGAGAGGCAAAGGATTATCGACGTCGGTTTTCTGTCAAAGATACTGAAATGGGTCGTATGAAATTTTTAGAAGGATTGAAGAAGAAGGTAGCGGGTCGTGCTTCTAGGAGTACCGACATGGGGATTACGTCGGTTCCACCAGAGGCGGTTGTGGTACCGGCCCCAATCATTGAGTCTGCTTCGGAAACTGTTCCTTCGACGAACATCGGGATGCCGATTGCAACTCTTGTCGCTGCCCCTGAAACTGAAAAGGATG